TGGCAGTGGCAGTGGGTGCAGCCAGGCGGAAGGGGGCTGGAAGTGGACACCTTTTGCTGCCTGGGATTATCCTTTGTTGCGAATCGACAAGCTGGAACATGGAACCGTGGCACCACGGCTGCTTCTTCTTCTTCATCTTCTTCATCTTCTGCTTCCCTGGGCGCTGGTTGTTTCTGCTGTGCTGCTCCACACCCGCACTCGGGTGGCATCACCACGCACTTTATTTCTGTGGCAGCAAACGCAGACTCTCCCGGTCCAGAGGCTTAATTGCAAACATTTCTGCGTTTCATGAGCGGTGTTCAAGTGAACTCTGATTGCTGGCTGGCTGGCTGGCTGGCTGCTTCTCAACGCTGCTGCTCCTGCTCCTGCTGGTCGCCCCCGAAAACTGTTTCCTGCCGCTGCTCCTGCTGCTGCTCCTTCGCCGTCGTGTGGCGTTAATTGGGCAGCAGCAGCAGCAGCAGGCGAAACATTTTTGCCTGCCACTTTGATGCCTTGCCGATGATACTCCAACAACAAGAGCTGCAGCTTCCCCGAAAATTTGCATTTCAAGCAGCCCGCGATTTATGACCCAAGCAGCCAGCCAGCTAAAGAGAGAGAGGAGCCGCTGCACCAGGAGTGGAGTGGAGTGGAGTGAGAGAGAGAGAGATCTGTGACGAATCCAATTATGAGGCGCGCCAGCTGCCAACGGGTGCAACGAGAAGGAGATGGAGAGGGGGAGGGGATTCTTGGGGGCATTCACGGGGTCCCGTCCTCGCTCTGGTGACGGCTGCCATGTGCCCTGATGCGATAATGCGCCATCAAATGGCCATAAATAAAGCGCACAAAGCGGATTAAGCGTTTTGTTAACAGATTTATATTGAACTGAATTATGAGCCCAGGAGTAGGAGCTCCCAGAGGAGCAGGAGCAGGCGAAGGAGCGGCAGAAGGAGCGGTAGATGGGCCCCACAGCTTGTGATTTAACGAGTCCCTTGATGGCAATGAGATCTCGGGATCAATCGAAATTAACGCGATGCCGGAACGGCTATAAGAGCTGCAATAACAGCTTGTTATCCCCTCATCGGGCGGGGAAATCGAGACCCCCAATCGAGACTTGCACTCTGCATTTTCCCCATTTTCCGCTACATTTCCTCGGTGGAAAACTGTCATCTGTCAAGACAAAGTATAGGATATTTCTTACGATTGGTGAGCAGCGAGTGGAGCAGTGGATGCTTAAAAGCTTTCCTTCAATGGAGTAGAAAGAGTTGAGGATGGTTTCTTATGGAGAACACCACTCATACGAGGTATTTCCTGCCTTTTCAAGGGATTTCGGGAGGACTGTGCATCATATCCTGGAAGCCCTGGCCCTACGGAATTTGTTTCATAATTTGCAAAACGAAACGAAAACATTTCTAGTTTACAGTCAATTATTTCTTAATTATGATGCATACACTCGTACGGATTTGTGTTTTACTTTGTTGCAACATTGCCATGCCCCACATGTAACATCATTTCGAACATTGCAAATACTTCGGGTGTCTTGTTGCAGCCCTCCTCCTGCTGCATCTTCATGCTTCAGTTGTTCCAGTGGAGAGCTTGCCACATGTGCCCCAAAGCTAGCCATAGAAATGTGGATTAGAATTGATGGCAGCACCCCCAAAAATATAGCAAATGTCCAACCAGAATTTATGTAGATTTTCCGTTGATAAATTCATGGGAGCGCAGGGGGGGCTGCCAATGCTGCCACTTGCCACAGCTTTTACCCATTCTCTGGACTGGACATGGACAACCGTCAATGCATCAATCGAATGAATATATGTTTCCCTTCCATTTGCTTATCGAATTTAAGTGCTCCCCAAAGGACGACTCTCCGGCGATTGTCCCATTCGGACTAGTGTTTTGTCTATGTTGCACGAGCGAGAGAGAGAGAGAGAGAGAGAGAGAGGATGTGGCAGCAAAGTGCTGCTGTAGTGGCAGGCTGAAACACTTACTTAAAGCCTGGCCAAAAAAAATTACAGCCACCGAAAAGTGAGGCGAATAAAAACAAAAATACTCGTACTCGTACCATCAAAAAAATGCTGTTCAAAATTGCCCCCGAGGGCACAGGCGAATGGCAAATTGAGGCGGCGCGCCGCTGAAGAAGCCGCCGCCGCCTTGCCACAGGAGGAGGATCATCCTCATCAGCAGTTGCCGCAGCAGCAGCAGCAGCGGCCGCAGCAGCAGCAGTCGATGCGATCGACGACGAGTGGCAGCCGCGTGCTCCGGATGGGGCACGAAGGGGGCAGCATCGAATTAAGCAAATTATGGTGGGGCTCCCAATGATCGATCCGAGCTGCATGCCCCCGCCCGCTCTGTCTCCCTGACAGATGCTGCAATTTGCCTTAATGCCCAGGATTATGTTTTGGAAGCAACTCCGAAAGCTGCAAACTGTTGACTCTTTTTTTTTCCTTCCCTTTTTCTGTGTCCACTCGGTCCACGGCGGCTCCACAAATTGGCGCATGTAAATTTTTGGGCTGTGTGCCCCCTGCCCGCATCCTCTCTGTGGATTGTTGGGCAGAGTAAGTGCTGTGTCCTGTTGGTGGGGCATGTGGACTTGTAAGAGGCGTTTGCTAAAGGATAAATAGCTGGAGACTAGAAGCTCTGAGACTCTGAAGGGATCTCCTTCAAGGAGAATAAACCTCTACAGATGGTAGCTCCCGTCAGTATTTGGACAGAGATCTGTTCTCCTTCAATGCAGGACACTTCTCTGGGATTCCTTCTAGGATCATGAGATACTTTCACGGAAGATACGTCCAGTGTCGTCCCTCTTCTTTGCCGATGAAGATCAGATGATCAGAAGATACTTTCTCAGTGGTCTAAAAAGATACTTCCTCTTTACTTTACGCGTTTTGGCAAAACTCCAAGAAAAGATGCCACTTTCGCAGGATTTATTCCCGTTTCCAGGACTTGTATCATCCCATCCGGAAGACACTTTTTCTTTAGGCTCTTCCTCTCCTTCGTAGGGCATTGCCCGTGTCCCTTAAACCTTAAATTCCTTCTCCTGCTTCTGCTTCTGGTTTTGTCATCCCTCCTTCCCCCCCCCCCTCCCCCCTCGCATCCTCGCTTTTTTGCTGTTTCTTTTGCTTTTGCTGACATTTGTGCGCAAAAGCGCTGAAATATTTTTTGAATGCAGATTTTTCACTTAAAATTATTTCAATTACGCCAAAGTGCAGGAGGCAGGCCGCGAAGAAGGAGCCCAGGGATTGACTTTTTTCTGTCTCTCAATGGCAGCTGCTGTGTTGGAAACTGAATTCTGAAGTCCTGAAGTCCGAAGCCAAGTCGATGCCTGATGCCTGATGCTGAGAGGCTGAGAGGATGAGAGGCTGAGAGGCTGACGCTGTTGCAGTTGTCGCTGCTGCTGTCGGAAGGGATCTCTGAACTTCAGCTGCAAGTAGATTAAATGCTGCCACAACCGCAAACAGACAAACTTGGTCAATTATTTTCAACGGCGAACACAAATTATTGATGCAGGAGGCCCATGGACATGGACATGGACATGGACATGGAGCAGTGGACGTGGACCCCTTCGAGGAGCAGTGGGAGAGGCCGAAACCGCAGCCATGGAACCGAAGCGAACCAAAGCGAAGCTCATCAATCTGACGGACGACGTTGTCGTTGAGAAGGAGAGACAATGGGGCTGGCTCTCTGCTCCTCTGGCAAAAGGTCTTCATTAAATTAGTGAAATGAGCATCGTGGTAGAGCAGCAGCAGCAGTGGCAGCGGCAGCAGCGGCAGGAGGATGATGATTCCATGGGCATGAAGCTGCAGCAGAGGCAGCAACAGCAGCCGCATTTAATGTCACAAATATTTGTGTTGTCAACCTGTCAATGGGGGACTTCCATTCGAGATCCATTCGATGATCCGCATCTCTGATTCTGATTCCCCGAAGAATCCAGCAGCTCCAGACCCACAGAGATTTGTGCTAAATTGGATCAACTTTATGGGTGGCTACCGATTGTTGTCGATTGAACCATCAATGTCTCATCAAAATGCCCTGCCCTCCCCTGCCCTGCCCTCACCCTGCCATCCCCTGTCACTCGACAAGTTTTTGGGTGGCTTTTGTCGAATGGGTTGGCTGCGGCAGGGCAGGTATTGCCACCAGCTATTATATTACAGCAACAGCACCAAAAAAAGTTTACAATTTCAGTTTTCGTTGGTCACAAACGAAATCCAAAACCGAAAAACACTGCACTAATTAGGCCACGACACCAACAACAGCACCCAGCACCCAGAACCCATTCGATGGGGCAATACCTCGAACCCAAAACAGAACCGGCACAACCAGAGAAACAATGTCCAAAACCATGGTCTAATTTTCACTGTTTCACTTTGTTCGTAATTCATTTTTGGCGTTGACCAATTCCGCATTTTGCCATTGAAAATGTGCTGGATTATTGCACAAAACCTCGTGCCGGACGGATGTTTTGTGGGCGCTCAAACAAATTCATGGACTGGACTTTTTGGCGCAGTTTCGGCCACAAGGCAGCAAAAGCAGTTGACTTTTTGGCCTGCCACAATTTCTATGGCACTCAAATCGATGCAAGCGTTTGAATACTTACCCTGGCAGCCCTGCTATGGCTTTAGAATTATAATAAAGTACCTGCATTCGTGTAAATGTATGTACTAGAGTCCAGGGTCCTGCTTGAATCCACAGCTATACAGCTCATGCCTCTCGCATAGCATTTGTGTGCTACTTTCTCGCACTCTCTGCCCGCAAATCAAATACAAAAGTGAGCGAGAAAAAAATCCGAAATTTTCGGATCTGACCCCTGCTTCGTTCAGTCCGTTTTGCGCGAGAATGCTAAGACCGAACGAAGCGAATACCGAATCGGTGTAAGTATATACCAAGCAAAAGAGGGCACTTCCCAGCTCATATAAATATATTATTGATCAACATCAAGAGGCAGACTCCTAGCGAAAATCTTAATGTCGAGCCACGTGGGCGTCGACAACTCGGCTCAATCTGGCAGAGAAAAAGGTTCAAAGTTATGTAGCTTAGCAATTTATTGAAGATTTCATTACTGTGTAGTTCATTTGGATATCTTTAGTACATTCTTTCAGTTCTTTCCTCATAAGTTCTTTCGTTAGATAGTATCTATATATCTCCAGCACATTATTTCGATGTATTTAGTTCTTCATTTGTTCATACTTACTACTGGGATATCTCTAGTTCTTCCTTCTGAAATCTTGAAGTTCTTTATTGCTTAACGTTTACCGTCTTTCAAGCTCTGGTTGTCTTTTGGCATTATAACTAAATAGGCAATCGGATGGATGGATGGATGGATGGGATCCACCATCCCAAAATAGAGAGCAAAACCTTCATGCGATCCTTTGGTTTTTCTTTTGGAAAGTCTCTGATGTGAGCCTGGCTCTCCACTCCTTTGGCATTGGCATAAGATACACATGTAAATGTTGTTGTTGTTTTGTTTTCCTTTCGAGGGTCTTAAGTTTAAAGAGTACTTTGAGCAGATATCCGAGAGATACTTAAGGTTCTTTTTGAGCACACACTGTCCTGGGGGAGGGGGAGAGTCTTACCATCTAGTGACTAGAGACTAAAGCATAAGATATGATGTGATGAAGTCTTTTAACCCATTCCCAGGTCGTGGAGCAGGTGCTGCTTGAGCACCTCTCCCTCCTGCTCGGCCAGGAGCTGGGCGGTCACCGTGTTGATCAGATTGAAGGCTATGCCAAAGACACTGAATGCCGACCACACGCCCAGTGCCAGCCAGCGCAGCAGCCGCGGACGCAGGCCCCCGTCCAGCTGCCGGAGGAGCAGCAGACCCACACTCAAGCCGGCCAGGGCGCCCGTCATGTGGGCGATGTAGGAGACAGTGGGGCGCGCCTGCAGCTCCTCGAGGTCTCTGGAATACAGAGCGTAGCCCAGGTCGCAGAAAACTAAAAGAAGCATTAGCCATTGTCAGGGAAAGACCGAAGAAATCTCTTGGAATACTCACCAAACAGAATCACAGCCATCAGCTGCAGGATTCCATGACGCATCTGCTCCAGGTTCAGCAGCACGCTGGCCACCTGGGCAGCCAAGAGAGCATAGACCCCCCCACTGGCGCCCACCAGGTACACCTCAGAGTCGACGACACTGGTGCCCAGGGATCCGGCCAGAACGCCCGCCATGTAGATCACTCCCGTCCGGGCAGAGCCATGCACCATCTCCAGGGGCAGGCCGAAGAGCAGTTGTGTGAGCACATTGAAGCCCAGGTGGAGCCAGCTGGCGTGGAGCAGGGCGTAGCTGAGGAAGCGCCACAGCTGGAGGCGCAGGTCGGGGCGATAGATGAGCACAGAGTCCTCCGGAGGGACCTGACCCACGCACACGAATACAAAAATCTGTAAAGGAGAAAAACGGCACGTTAACTGGTTCATTTCGGGTATCCCGGCTATCCGGGAGCATCTCTATCTGCGGAACCGGAACCAGCAATAAACCCATCAACAAAAACCCACACAGAGAAGAGACACAGAGACACAGAGAGATGGAGAGATGGCGAGGGGGACAGCAACCCCCAAAGGGGCCATGGCACAGACTGCCGCCAGACAGCGACGAGACGTCGCCATCGAATTCCCCTTTTTCCTTGGCTTTCCTTTCCTTTCCATCCACTCCCTGTCTCGGGCTCTGGCTCTGGCTCTGGCTGTGGCTCTCTGGTGGCGGCGACGGCGTCCAGTCGTCTGTGGGCCCTGCCAGACGCGGAAAACAAATCGTAGACGTGTTGGGGTTTTTCGCACGCACACTCGCCCTATCCCTGGCAATCCCTTGCTATCCCCTTTCAGAGTGTCCCCGTCGCCCTTCGCCCGCTCTGGTGCTTCTCGTATATCCTTTAACCGGAAGCCAACTTCCATTTCATTCCCATTCCAACAGAGAAGGGGGCACTCTCCGTGAAGCGTGTGTGTGTGTGGGCCAGTCGGCAATTTGTTTGCCTCAAAAGTCAATTGCTCGACTAGAGCTCTTGGACGTGCGAGCGGAAAAGGGGGACTCCCAGATGGGACACATGATCCAGCAACAGCAGCAGCATCTTTGCTCTGGGGGGGAAGCAACCCTCCTCGTGTAAGCACACGACGTGAGACGTGAGACGTGACTGCGCAAATACCGACCACCGACCACCGACCCGACCCGACCCGACCAGCCATCCATACGCTGACCAGAGTGGACTTCCACTTGCGGAACTTCTTTGCTTCTGGTAAGGAAAGCCCACACCAAACTGATGTTGGATAATGGAAAAATAAATAAACTACCATGGAAGGATGGCTTCTTGCGGCCTAAGCCTTGAAAATGCATGCAAAACATTCTAGTTTCTATATAAATTGGAATGTTGTGGAACACAACACACACAATTTGAAACATTTCAACCCAAGACTGCATCTAAAAATGGGCCTTAAGAAACTTCTGTGGACTTCTGTAGGCAAACACGTGTCGCGCATAATGCAGTAGCACCCCTCGGCTGGTGCCGAGAACCTTTTACAATGATTTGAAACCCCCCCAGAGAACAAGTGCTTGTACACGAAAACATAAGTTGTAATTCAACAAAGGATGTACGAGTAGTATGCCTTTTCCAAGCAATATGTTGGCTATCCCAAGGGTTGCCTCTGCCACACCACAGTGGGTGGGTGAGTGTGTGTGTGTGTGGCAGCAATTAAAGCAAACCACACTCTCCAGAGGAGGGTCCCCCAGTACCCCACTCCCCAGTCCCCAGTCCCCAGTCACGAGTGTGTGTGGCCACAGCAATGTCATGGATTGTGGGGATGCCATGGCAACCTTCCGTCACCCGAAATCGCCCCAAAAAAAGTTACGGCTTTTTATGAGCGGTGCGGCCCTCAATCAACCCTCGGGTCGAGAGTTTAATCGCATTAAAAGCGGCAACAGTGGAGAAATGGTACAGTACGCCCCGCCCGACCCCGCCCGACCCCTCCCGACCCCGCACTCACCTCCAGCAGCGATGCAAGGACAATGAAGCAGGGCGGCGGCCATTTGGTGGCAAGAAGCTGCCTCTCCTTCTGCCTCTCCCTCTCCAGCAATGGTGGCTTCTTTGTTGCTGAAACTGGAACTGGAACTGGGCCTGGGCCTGGGCCTGGGACTGCTGTCGTTGTGCGATGCACTGGATATGGGTGTGGATGTGGATGTGGATGCTGTGGCATCAGCTGGTCACAACAGACGCCCAGCACCAGGCCAGACGAATGCGATGTGGAGGAGGCGGAGGCAGAGGCACAGCCCGTCGGCATCGGCGGCGGCATCTGCACTACGGTGCTGCTGGGCAGCAGCAGCATCTCTCCTCTCCGTTTATTCGAGTGTCTATTTTTGGGGCGTCTGCCTTGTGACGGTGCCCCACTTAGCAGCAGCAGCAGCAGCAGCAGCACCAGCACCGACTGTGGCAGTGGCAGTGGCAGCAGCAGCAGCGGTGGCGGCGTTTGCTGTCATCATGAGATGGTCTCGGAATGCTGTCTGGGCCCCCGGTTTTGGCCTCCTGGAAAGAAATAAAGACACGACACACATGAGTCAGAGTATCAGCAATGGGGCTTACAGTGGGCCAAATTAGCTCAAGGTTGTCTCCTCCGTCGGGCGGTCGGTCCGTCGGTCCGTCGGTCGTTGTGTCCCACTGTCTCGAGGGCCCCCCATCCAATGGGTGCTGCCAGACGACGACGACAACTGCAGCGCATTTCGAGGCGACTCTCGACTCGTCTCGTCTCCGTCTCCGTCTCTCGATTTGGCAGACGACAGCGCCAAAAGGCGGCGCCATCATTCAGGTCTACACCGAGTCCCCCATTTCTTCCATTTCCCTCTCGTTTCAGCACTTTTTAATGGCCCTAGACCTAGACGGCCATAAAAAAGTCAAGAATTTATTTCTCTTTTTATATTTTATTCTTTATTTTTTGCACACACAAGAAATTTATTTCCGCTGCGGCGAAAAGGCAAGCGAAAAGCAGGAAAGGTTAAATGCAACCCTCGAAATGTGCTCAAAAGTTCAGATTAAGATGGAATTTCTCTCACTCTCTCAGCGTAAGAAAAGACAACCCCAAAGCAATAATGAAAGTGTTCCTAATGGAAATCGAATAATGAAAAGCTTATAAAGGAGTCTATATCCAAGATGAAAGCTGGAATCCTCCCCTAACAATGGGAAATCCTCAGTTCTTGGGCCTTCGAATCCCAAGAAATCTACAAAGAGCCAAAGGTTTTCCATTCAAATGTGTCTTAATGGAACCCCATATTCCGTTGGAGATGGATAAAGGATAGATTTTGCTTTAGCAGACCCTTCATTAAGGGTTAATTCCCCTATTCGGCTGCCATAAAGTATCCCAGATCCCTTAGCCTGGCCTCCCCCTTCTGCCTGCCAAAAACTAGTTGTGGTTCCTCCCGAAATCCCTGCAATCTTATTGCAACTAATCCCCATGAAATACTGAGCTCTGGTCGCTGGACTATGTACCGACTAGACAGCCCTAGCACGCAGGACCCTCTCCCCATGTGTGTGTGTGTGTGTGTGTGTGTGTGGTTTAAGCTTGAGTTTCATTTGGCTGTGTTTCCATTTCCAGTTCTGTCTCGGAGTCCAGTCCCATGGCGTGTTCCGTGTCCTGCTTTGTCCTGTCCAGTACTCCGTTCCGTTCTGTGGTGCGCTGTGGTGCTCGCCTGGTAATGAGTTTTAATGGTGATTACCTTTGGCCCAAAAACAACAGGAGCAGCAGCACCAGTCGCAAGTCGAAGGTCCCGTCCTGGGTCCTTTGCAGTGTCCAGTGTCCTGTGTCGTGTCTCTCCCCTTCGACTGCAAACGAGTTCTTCTGCCAAGCGGCGGAAGTGTTTTGTTGCTCTGCCTGGAAGGGGAAGCCCCTTTAATGATCTGCGGCTGGCACACAACCGGTTAATGGTGCCTGCCGCCGCATGCCAAAAACTGTAAAAATATCGACAGGTGTATATCCTTAATGTCCTTCAACATTCGATTCCTGGGGCCAGTAGCTTTTGCCTCTGGTGTGCTCTTCGAAAGTTCTCCTTTGCTGGTGCTGCTGTTGTCCTTGGCACGCAACTTGTTTGTTCGTGCAGGACACTGAAACGCACAATATCCTTGAAAGAAGCACACAACTTCCTCCTGGGCCGAGGTCTCTGCCCTTTCAGCTCACTTCCCCGACCTTTCTTAGCAATATTTCGCTCCTTTCTCCTTTCTTTTGGCCTCTTCCCACGTCCCTCTCTCCTTTGCCCCCTCGCCTCATTTGGCATAAGGCAAAAATCGAAGTTCAACTCGCAGTTGAAGTTGATTATGCAAGGACTCCTTCAACAACCTCCAACCGCCAAGCTGCAAGCTCCTTCCGCCCCCGACCCCGGCCCCAGCCCCGATGTGGCTGCCACACGGCCTGGCCTGCTACTGTTGCCACTTGCCACTTCCCACCTCCCACCGAAACTGCTGCTGCTGTTCTAGTTTCCTTCCTTCGACCGCATTTTGCTGCTGTGTTCAGTGCTCCGAGTTGTGTGCTGTGTTTGCATTGGACAAACATTTCATTTACATAATGCTGACTATTTGTGTTTGCCTTTCGCCCCCATCTTTTTCTTTGAGTTTATTTTTTTTTTTTGTCATATATGTGAGTATTTCCCCAAGTATTCTTTTATTGATTTATGCAGTTCAAATTGCCATGAAACACATTCCAAATTATTTCCAAGAAGTTGTCGGAGCGATTCCCCAGGTGGGGGAGCAGCAGCAACCTCCCGACGCCTCCGCCCCCGCCTCCCCCTCCCCCTCGGGTAACTATTCCCTTCTTTTTTTTTGCAGAAGTTGGCAGGGAAAATGGGAGAAAGACAGAAAACAAATTTAATTACTGAAGCCACAGGGGATCCCCCCAGTAACCAGGAGGGAGTGGGGGGGGCAGAGGGAAAAGCGAGTGAGAGCGAAATGGAAAATATATGTAATTATAGCCCGGCTTAAAAATGCCTTGGGTTGAGAGCAAAAGTTATGTAGAAAGAAAAAAAATGAGTTGGCAGCTCCCTCGGAGCCCCCACAGCCCCCAGAGCCCCCAGAGCCCCCTTGGAACTGCCACGCCAGTGGGCGGTACGGAAAAAAAAGTGAAAGAATACCAAAGAAAGTTACACCAACAAAATGCAACAGCAACAACAGCAAAAACAATGACGAGAAAATTATTATAAAACTATAATTGAAAAATGTTTACTTTTGGTGGGTGGAAAAGTGGGAAAAAAACAAGTGCAATAGGAGGCGGAGAGGTGGAGAGGTGGAGAGGCGTACAGTCAACTCAAAGGTTCACCTACGACTGGCTTTCACTGTGGCAGATGCATGGGAAAGGTTTTCACTTTTTTTTCGCATTATGAAAGATGTACTCGCATGTACGGGATGTATGGATGGATGGATGTACATGGGATGGGAGTAGAGTGCTCCCAAAGAGTCTTTGCTTTGCTCATTTCACAATAAAAATTCCGTCAATTGTGAAACGAATGCGATTAAAAGTCGCGCACGCCATCATCACAGAAAGGCAGAAGAGCAGCGGAGCCGAAGAGCCGAAGAGCAGCAGACGTGGACGGAGGGGCACAGCAAATGGAGCATCGCGATAGGGCATCGAAACTACTTCTCAAGAGACCCGAACCGAACCGACCCCCACGCAGCCCCCAGAGAGAGAGAGAGAGAGCTTCAAAGTTCATTTCCATTTGGATTGCATGTCGGACTGCAAGAGGCAGAGGGAGAGGGAGAGGGAGAGAGACCTGTGGGAAGGAAGCCCTCACTCACTCACTCACTCACTCACTCACTCTTTCAGTCTTTCAGTCTTTCTCTTTGCTTTCAATTTAATTGTAATTTCTTTTGTGTTTATTGCGTTTGCTGCTGTTGTCTGCTGCTTACGTTTTAATTTCATTAACTTGTGTTTACTGTGTGAAACACTTGCCCTTACCCCCGGACCCGGACCCGGACCCGGAACACCAGCCACTGGCCTGCCTGCCACACTGCCACACTGCAACGCCACTCCACTCCACTCCAATCCACTCTTGGACTGAGCGTCCGTCCGTCCACCTCTATGCCATTAAACGCTCCACATAAAACTTAAACCATCAGAGATTGCCTTTGTTGTGCGTCCAATTTCGACAGAAGAACAGAACAACAGAAGAAGAGCTCTTCTGGCCCTGGCACTGACGCTGAACCAGAAGCTGATGCTGATGCTGATTCTGATTCTGAGACTGATTCTGAAACTGTGCTCTTGATGTCGCATTGAGATTTCAGACATTTAGAACAACAAACGGAACGGAATCTCAAGCTTTCAAATTCGTAGGTGGTCTGCCCTGCTCTCCGCACAAAAACAGAAGCGTAAAGCGTAAAATATATAAATAAAATTAAATGATCCGCAGAAAAGAGACGAGAAAAAAAGAAACCTTTGACGGTTTTCCCATACCGGGAATTGAACCCGGGCCTCCCGGGTGAGAGCCGGGTATCCTAACCACTAGACAATATGGGATGTGTTTGAATCGTGTCCAAAAGTCCATTTGAATTTTCATGGAGATCGTTTTTGTTGTGTAATTCAGAGATTCATTTGAGGCGACAGCTAAATTTATCCTCTGATTCATGGATATGCAAAGAGACCGAAGACCGAAGACCGAAGAGACCGGCACTCGGTGACGAATATAAATTACCTATTCGATTGGAATGCATCCACGGAATATGCTCATGTTTATGCAGATTCTGATCAGAGCAAAACCGCAAGAAGCGCGTATACCCTTTCAGTTGTGGCCACTCTTTGGCCCGTTGTGGCCCGTTGTGGCCCGTTGTGGCCCGTTCTGGCCCTGCCTGTCTCCCTGCTTAAGTATTTATGTCTTTTCGTATATTTCTACGACTTCGCGTCAATGCACAAATCAGTTAACGTCCGGCAGACGACAACGGACACTAGATGGACAGTGGATGGACACTGGATGGACAGTGGATGGACAGTGGAGCGGACGGACAGACGGACGGATATATAATCACCTGCAGCGACAAAGACACCACCTGACCGGGGGACCGACCACTGTGTCGTGGAGGTTGTGTGTTCGTGATGTTGCTGTTGTTTCAGCCTAAACAAGTGCACATGAGTATCCATGTTTATTTTACGGTTCAACGATTATTACCAGTTATTGTCTAATGCAACCGTAAAAGGGGCCAGGCCAGCACCCTGCCTCAGACACCGCCGAACCACCGCCAAACAGACAGGAGAACAAGAACCACAAAGCAGAGGGTTATAGACGACAGGGCTTTTAGCCAGACCCAGAGGAGGGGAGAGAGGAGGGGAGGGAGGAGAGAGAAGAGGTGGTAGCCAGACAAACGACAGACAGAGAGACGGTCGGAGGAAGGGAGGAAGGGAGGCAGAGAGGCAGAGAGGTAGGAACGTGGGCATGGAGCCGGGTAATGGACAACTTTTGGC